CTAGACGAGCGCTGGCATCTTCTCTAGCCCCCATCCGGGGGGATGCCTTTTAGGGAGACAGGAGCCCATCTACCCACCAAGACTTGCCTCCCTGCTCACTAAAAGTCCCTTATGCAGCACTGTGGTGCCAGAGTCCGCCGGACACTCAGCAGGGCTTTGTGCTGACCGGGACGGTAGCTGTCTGCCAACCACACTGGAGGGCCCTTCAGTCTCCGGTTCGGCCGTGGGGTCCGGCCCTTCAGTCTCCGGTTCGGCCGTGGGGTCCGGCCTTTCAGTCTCCGGTTCGGCCGTGGGGTCCGGCCTTTCAGTCTCCGGTTCGGCCGTGGGGTCCGGCCTTTCAGTCTCCGGTTCTGCTTTGGGGTCCAGCCCTTAAGTCTCTGGATCTGCCATTGGGTCTGCCCCTTCCTTCTCAGGTTCTGCCGTGGGGACCAGCCCTTCATCTGCCGGTTCGGCCATGGGGTCCGGCCTTTTATTCTCCGGTTCGGCCGTAGGGTCCGGCCCTTCAGTCTCCGAATCGGCCGTGGGGTCCGGCCCTTCAGCCGCCGGTTTGGCCGTGGGGTCCGGCCCTTCATCTGCCGGTTCGGCCGTGGGGTCCGGCCCTTCATCCGCCGGTTCGGCCGTGCGGTCCGGCCCTTCAGCCTCCGGTTCGGCCGTGGGGTCCGGCCCTCCTGTCCGAAGCTCCCCGGTCCCATCTGCCCTCACCGCCGCCTCTCTCCCCACCTGCCCGTGGACAGAGCCTCTCTGTCCTCCAGCTCCCTGCACCCAAGCTCCGCTTTGCCCCCCTGACAGCACGGGCTTCTCTTTCAGCCTGGGGGAGGGAGGGGGGCCTTCATCTCTCTTCTGTTTGTGTACTGTGCCGAGTGGTGATTTCCAGGTCGATCTCTTCCTGGGCCGTCTTTAATAGCTGAGGTTTGCTGGGACGCACCCGTCTCCCTCCTCCCCCTCCCCACCCCTCGAAGCGGCTGGCCACACGATCCGTGTCTCTGTTTGTATGCGTGTGTCCAGAACGTAGCCAGGACAGCGTGACGGTGATGCTGTCCGACTCCAGCTCCACCCAGGACCCTTTCCCCGACCCCGCCAGCTCTCAGGACAGCAGCCACAAGGTGCATGCTGGGAAGGCGGCCGCTCCCCCAGCAGAGCAGACCCCTCCCCTGAAGCAGGCTGAACCACTACCGGAGGCCTCTCAAGGTAACGGGCGTGCTGTCATAGTCATACAGTGACACAGAAATATTGGGAAATGCTGCAGTTCCTTTGACCACGCTCCATCAGTCACCGATTCGAAACATCATTGGTTAATGATAAAGTTGCCCCCTCTGTATGACTCATGGCCTCTCTTGTGCCCCCACCTTAAAACATCGTAGAATTGCCTCCACAGCTTTGCAGTATTGGAGCTGTAAGCATCACCTTATTAAAATAAAAGCAGTAATAGTATTAATATTAGTAATGTGCTTGTGCTTATAAATTTATGGAAGGGTCAGTGAAATTTGAACTTTATTCTGTGCCATTTTTCTCTCTAGAACACTGTAAAATTGCCTGCTATGTGTTGGTTTAATTTACAGGCTTTTTGGTTTAATTAATATTGAATATGAAATCAGTGGTGGTGGTAGTGTTTTAATCTTTCTTATTAAAAGGCCAGATGTAAAGTCGCCGCATTTTATCGCAGGCTGTTTGTCTGATCGCAGCCCGCTACCTCTGTGGAGCACTTCAGATCTAGCTGCACGCTTTGCTCTGGGAATGTAGAGTAAAGTCCCACCTCCCCAGAATAAATTAGTCGTAATTATCTGTCAGTGTGTGGCGCTTCATCCGGCGTGTTCCCCAGGACTCTGATGCTCTGCGGGATCCTTGAATCCATGAATGTTCCTGCTGGGATGTGAACCAGTGACCATCTGACGTAATCGAAGCTGATTTATGCAAAGAGCAGACAAAACCGGTCCAAACGTGCGAATGGACTGAGGAGGAATTCCCGGCTGGGAGTGAGTGATGCTTTTGGGGCTCTCTCGTTACCCCAGGGCCCCCGGCGGAACCCCCCCATGAGGCTGGGACCTCCAGCCTCCCGCAAGAAGAGCAGAGCGTGCAGGACACGCTGGACGCCCTGCAGCTGACACCCTCCGACATGACGACCCCCCAGCCACCCGCCAGCCCCCCACCCAAGGTGGCGCTGTCCCCGGGGATGCTGCCCCAGACCCCCACCGGCGAGGCTAAGCGAAAGCTGGAGTCAGGGGCCGAAACGGCGGCGGTAGCGCCCCCAGGGTCTGACGTCCCCGGGACGCTGCCTGCCTCCCCCGAGGAGCAGCACTGCCTGCTGGTGAAGATGTGCGTATGCGCCCTCTTCCTCTGCCTGGGCCGATTCCCTCAGCACTACAAGAGCCTGTACCGACTGGCCTACCTCTACGCCAAGGGCAACAGTCACCGGGTGAGTGAGTCATGTGACTCCTCTTACGTCACGTAATGCGACGTCTCTCGTGTCAGCCTCCCGTTTCCTCGGGCTGGGCCCCATAGCTCGTATCCTTATTTAGCATTGTGTTGTCATATCAGCGCCTCGCCCCAAAACGGTTGGGGTCGCAGTCTTTCAGAGTGGGGGGCCATGTCTGTCGTTACCAGGTCGCAGCAGCCTGTCGTGAGGGAGGAGAATGCATGGCGTGTTGGTACGGAACGCCGGTACGTCCCGAAGGGGGATCCTTGACATGATCCGTGGCAGATCATGATGATATCGTTTACCTTGCGAGGCAGACCGGCACATCCCCGGCACTGCCGCGAGATGCGGACAATGTGGCCGTCTGAGCAGAGCGCGGAGACGAGAGGGAGAGAGCGCGTTCTGAATGTCACCGGTGTCCCTCAGAGAGCTTCCGTCTCGGCATGCGAGCCTCCGGGACGTCAGGCGCCCAAGCTGCCTCCGGGACTCGTCTCCCATCCGCTCTTCCTCCCTTCTCCTTCTCCTCTGACATCACTGTCTGATGCCGTCACGTCAGCCAGCGGTAACTCCGCACTCCCGGCACAGCGCCAAGTTTATGGGATGCCACAGTCCTGTCCGGTGCTGCCCGCGGCCTTCAGAGGACAGCTCTGGGGCGGGCCGCAAACGCGATGGCGGTAGGGGGAGTTTGACCCTGAGCGATTTGATTAATTAGCCAATAAAGGGCAACCTATGGCTGAATCTGCGTTGCTGGGAATACAGCAAGTCCCGGGAAGTTTCGGGAGGGAGGGACCCCTCTGTCTGGTACCCCATGACAAGGCCTGTCCCCAACTGTGCTGACACTAGCTGCCAAGACCCAGAAGGACTCAGGATGTGGTTCTGTTTGCTTGGTTCTGATCCCTTGCTTAGCTCGTCGGCACGGCGACAGCTCGCACGGTCTCTGAGGAGGGCGCTTTGAAAACAAGCAGTCAGCCGGTCCTGGGGGAGGAGCCTGTACGGCCTCCTCTGATTGGTTCTAGATGGCCTTTCTCATTTCGCTTGGTTGGCGTGTTTTTTATGTTTGTAGTTGAAAGCATCTGATATTCAAAGCATGAGGTGCTGCCCCCTGGGGGTGTTAAAGTGCCCCCCCCCCCCAAAAAAAACCAAGATACTGATGCATTTGAACCCAGGACAGCTGCGGGGGAGAGCAATGTCCAGCATGAGCTGGATGAGGGAGGTGTATGTGAAATTTTAGCCGCCCAGCACTTAAGGGAATGTGCCTAACTGGGGTATTGAAATTACCCAGGGGCGTGGCTGACAGTATGAGGCGTGTGATTGGTCGATCCGTGTATGGGGAGGGCTGAGTCTGATTCAAAAGCAATCAATAATAAATGAAAATGGGTAAACAGGAGTGGCGGAATCCCGCCTCGCTTGCTGCTGGATAGTCACGTGGCTTGGTTAATTAGCGCCATGCTTTCATGGGAAGTTCCACTCCGGAGATGATCTCAGACACCTGACGCCGGGGAGGGTGGAGGTGCTGCGCTCCAGAACATTGAGGGGAACTCGGTGTGGAGCGGCTTCCCCTCCGCGAGCCGGCCCGTCTTCCCGCTCGCGCGCGCATGTATATGTGTGTGTGCTCTCGCGTGTGTATGTGCGCGCGTGTGCCCGCCCGCCCGCCTGCACGCACGCATCCCAAACCCACGACTTCCTCATTCCACGCTTTGCCTCCACAGAACCTGCAGTGGGCTCGGGACGTGTTGCTAGGAAGCAGTGTCCCATGGCAACAGCTGAAGCACATGCCAGCACAGGGGCTGTTCTGCGAGAGGAACAAGACCAATCTGTTCAACGTGAGTCCGCGGCTCTGCCAGAGCGGCCCTGCCGCCGGGGAGAGGGGCTGGGGGGGGGGGGGGCCAGGTTAACGGGGTTATTGCCATTATCCCAGCCAATGTCACACATCTGCACCGCGGGTGAGAGGGAAATGACCGGGACCCTGAGGGGGAGGGCAGCTACGGTGCTGTTTCGGGTGGGTGCAGCCGTGTCTCTCTCAGGAGTGGGCGTGACTGATGGGTCACATGTTCCCCTGCTGTGGAGAAGCTGCCAGGACAGTGTTTAGCCCAGGCGCACGCTAACTCTCTGAGCTCCAATCTTCTTCATCTTGAAGGCATCTGAGAGTTTGGAGGGATTCTGTTCTTTAACATTCCTCTGTGCTGCTGAGTTTTTCCTGGTATTAATGTGTGTGTGTGTGTGTGTGTGTGGGGGTTATGTACATATGCACGTGTGTGGGTGTGTGTTCGTATATGCGTGCGTGTGTGTGTGTGTGTGTGTGTGTGTGTGTGGGTTATGTACATATGCACGTGTGTGGGTGTGTGTTCGTATATGTGTGTGTGTGTGTGTGTGTTTGTGTGTATGTATGCGTGTGTGTGTGTGTGTGTATGGGTTATGTACATATGCACATCTGTGTGGGTGTGTGTTTGTGCTCACACCCGTGCGTCTCAACCTTCAGACCAGCTAATCCTTGAGGCGATCGTTCCTCCAGCATGATGCACATGCCGTATGCGAGTCTCCGGGCCACAGGTGCCCGGCCGCATTTTCCTGTGTACTCAGTTGAAGGGTCTGGGTCTCTCCGACCCGGAATTCCACGAGAACGGCTGTCAGCTAGGAGCCCCTGCACACGACACGGCAGGGGGGTGGGGGGCACCTCAGTTAGCTGAGAGTTGTTTGAGATCTTGACGTACGGCTGATTTGGTCATTGCCGCCTGGGGCTTCGTGAATCACGGGGTAGGTATTTCCATCAGCTGCCTGCACGGGGATCCTGGGGCCTCCTGGTTTTGTTTAGGATGTACAGTGTGTCGGGCCCCTGTTCTCCTGGGAGATTTCATTTGTTTTCCTAAGAATAGTCTTCGTTCTGAACTGTGGCGGCATTTTCTTTAAGGGTTATTTAGTAGCTGATTACTGTGGCAAATGGTGTCATTCCTTAGAGGTGCCTATTTGAGGCACAAGTTTAGATGTAATATTATTTTTCTGCGCTCTGCTTCTGGTTTGTACAATAAACCCGGCATTTCTCTGGCTTTTAGTGAGTTATGGTCAACAGCCCTTCTGGTGTGAGAAATTGTTTATATACGTTCAGAAATCACCCCCCCCCCCCGAAAAGCAGCACAGGAAGTACTTCTTCATGTATACATGTGTAAATACCTATTTGTTTGTTTTGTCTGTTTTCATTACAGCACCGCGGTGCTCAGGCTCCCAGTCAGCCCCAGTGACTAACGGCAGCATTATGAGCCTTTCATAATGTGTTTTTTGCTGGTCACGTGGTTCTGGACACAGCGCAGCTCGGTGTGACCAGGCTGATGGTGTCTGGGGGGTTTCCTCCTCAGCTGCTGCTTGGCCAGAGAAGTCGGCCCTGGCACCCAGCATGTGTCTCTCAGATCACCGGAGCGGGCGTCCTGTGCTGAGCGGGAGTCCTGTGCTGAGCGGGAGTCCTGTGCGGAGCGGGCGTCCTGTGCGGAGCGGGCGTCCTGTGCGGAGCGGGCGTCCTGTGCGGAGCGGGCGTCCTGTGCTGAGCGGGCGTCCTGTGCTGAGCGGGCGTCCTGTGCGGAGCGGGAGTCCTGTGCGGAGCGGGCGTCCTGTGCTGAGCGGGCGTCCTGTGCTGAGCGGGCGTCCTGTGCTGAGCGGGCGTCCTGTGCTGAGCGGGCGTCCTGTGCGGAGCGGGCGTCCTGTGCGGAGCGGGCGTCCTGTGCGGAGCGGGCGTCCTGTGCGGAGCGGAATGCTTCTTTCTTGGGCTGCAGGGGTCGTAGAGGAACATGCAGGTGTGAGTTCTGTGACCCGTGGCTTATCCTCATGGTCGTGGTCACCGTGCCATCCCAGGTCAGTCTTGGGGTGGAGGGGGGCGGCTGGCGCAGGTGCCTTTCCGGAGGATTCTCCCTCCGAGGACTCCCCCATGGTGGTGGCTATGTGGGTCGCCCTGCCCTGCTTCCGTCCGGGAGCTCGAAACACATCCCGTCTCCCTGACAGACCCAGAATCTCAGTTTCTTCTTTCTCTCCTCATTCCCACATCCGATAAGTTTTTGTTACTGTCGGCTGATAGTCTACGTCAACCCCGTCCCTTTCAGAGCCTCCCGAAAACACCCCAGCTAATGTCTCTGCATCTGAGAGCTTCCTGCTGTTTTTCCCGAAGGGAATGTGAGTCCGGGCAAGCCCTCTTGGGGGCTAGGGCGGGTGTCCTTCAGAACCTCTGCTCCGTACTCAACACCATTCGCCATGCAAGCCGGTCATGCCGTGAGACCTTACCCCCGAGTCCCTGGCTCAGGTCACATGTTTTTGCTTCAGACCCTAATTGTTGTTCCCATGACAGCCGCCCGCAAGGCGGAGACTATCCCCCCCACCCCCGCTCACCGTCGCCTTCCCATCGACGGGACTCTGCTTAGTATCTGGCGAGGAGATCCGCACTTCAGATGCTGTTTAAATTTAAATGGCTTACAGGGAGGGAGGGGAGCGTGGCTGCTGGCTGCGCCGAGCGCCGTCCGCCCGCTTTTCTGGCTGCGGTACTTCGCTCCCCTAAATAGCATCATGGGCTGGCTTTCCTTCGCACACCGAGGAGCTAACTGCTAACCAGCCGGTTATACTATGCTGGCCTGCTTCTGCAGGCACCTGTGCGATCGCAGTTTTTTGGTGACTGCACTGAGTGCGGTCAGTTCATAGCTATAAGCTGCATGCACAGGCTACAGGTGCAAGTTTAAGTTCAGGCTTCCGATTTATACTGGAGTATAACCTTACAGTTTATGCTGTAACTTTAGGTCCCCGTGCTACAGCCTGTGTGTTTTTTGCAGTCCCTCACCCTTCCTCTGGAGGGCAGCATGCGCTTAGTTAGGCTAATCATTGTCAGAACATGGCAGGCTGGAAACACTCCAGGACATGGGCAATGAGCCTCAATATTTGAGTATCAACCTAGTTACTGTCGTCGTGTTACAGTTTGATGTCTTTCAAGGCTTTTCTGCTGTGGTTTTTTAAAAATCTCTTTCCTGACCGGTCAAGGCCCCACCCATGTGGACGGTTTTGATTGTATCACATGCCCCCCTGCTGAAACAGTGGCCTGTACTGGCTGTGTCCATCACTAATATAGGTATATATGTAGGTGCTTGGTAGTTGATACCTCATTGGGCTGAATTTCCCCGTGTGTCTGGGGGCAGTGGCAGCTGTGTGTGTTTGCGTCCTACTGCCAGTGGGGCGGAACCGGCTCGGGGCTGTAGCGGCCCGGTGGGTTTGAGCACAGCGTGTGTGTGTGTCTCTGTGCACGCGTGTGCATGTGGGGGAGGCTGAGTGCAAGGCCGGATCCGCTGGGTAGAGAGTGAGCTTTAGCAGAGGGGGAGGTTGAGAGCGGGAGAGCTGCTTGTGGGGTAGGGGTGAGGGCAGGCAGGGGGCCCCCGGTGCGGAGAGTCCCGCTCGCTGCCTTCCCTGTCTTCTTCTGCACAAACAACAGGAAGTGAGGCGACCAGCTCTGCACAGATCTCTTCGTTTCTCCCCTTCTGCAGGTCGCTCTGTCTCCCCCCCCCCCCCCCTTCCCCGCCTCTCTCACTCTCTCTCTCCTTTCCCTCTCTTCCCTCTCTCCCCACCCCCCGCCTCACGCTCTCTTTGCACCCTCCCCCTCCCCGTCTCCTCTGTTTGTGTACAGCGCGTGTGGGCGTGCGCCGAATTCCGCGCTCCCCCCCTATTGGCTGGCCGTGCCGTAGAGGGGTGGGCGTCGGCAGGGAAGGCGGGGGTTGGGGTTGGGGCTGGGTGTCGGGGGGGGTGCGTGGGTGTTTTGTTGTGTGATGGCAGACTCTGAGAGGGAGCGAGCGGCGAGTCAGGCTGTCTGTGTGGAGCGCGGTGCTGCTCCTGTCCGCCCCGCCGCTGCCACCGCCACGCTTCCCAGCCCGCGCTGAACAACCCGCTCGCTCACTCTCGCTCCCCCCCGTGGGGGGGGACAGCCTCCAGGAGGACGAGTGGCGTGGCCTGTGTGGAGCGGACCTCGTTTGTGATGGTGAGTCTCTCGCTCGCTCGCAGTGAAAGTTTCGTCCCTACCGTTGCTAGTGTGCCTGTGGCTTCTTCGGCTTCCAGTTAATTTTGTTAGGTTGGTGGGGGGGTGGGTGGGCATGGAGAGAAATGAGAAATAGTGAATCTGGAGGGGGGGGGGGGGTTCTGCCAGCGCTGGGGGGGCCTCACCCCAGAGCTCGGAGCCAAACTCCCGCCTGTGCTTTTTCAAGAGCTCCAGGATCTCCATTCAGCCCCCCCGCCCCGTTGTGTCACTGCTGGTGTAGTGTGGGGGGCGGGGGGGGACCACGTGGATGAAGTATGGGGGAAGGGGGTGGAGAAAGCAGAAAGCAAACTTTAAAAATACACACCAGAGGGGAACCTGGTGTATCTCTGGAGGCCCGAGGAGTTTTTGGCGGGAGGTCTAAATGCTCCGCTGTGCTCCCTCGCCCTTCTACCTTCATTTAAATCCATCTCCTCACCCCCACCCCGCCCCCCCCCATCCCTCCCCGGCACTGCATTGCCTTTTGAAGTCTCAGAGGAGAAGTTCCTGCATGTTTTACAGCACTGTGACCAGCTGCCCTGGGGTCTGAATCTTGGGGGCGGCCGGTCTGAGTGTGACCTGGCAGCGGGCGTGACCCAGCGATCAGGTGGGGGGTGCCGGAAGTGGCCGGAGGCGCGCAGCGGTATGCGGACACTTGCTCCGACATGAAAGCTAAAGGGGGTGTTTGGGATGGTTTGCCATAATGACTCCGCGCCGGTCTGCACGATGTGTCTGTAGCCACTGGAAGTTGTCTGATGAGCTGTGTCCCCCCCGCGGGTCACGCTGGCCGGATGGTCCGCAGGTTCCTGGGAGCCACGTCTTCGTGCATCACTAGCCCGCTTCTGCCTGCCAGGTTTCTGCTCTTCCCCGTCCTGCCGGTTCTGTAGCCCCCACCCAGTTATGCTGACCCTCAAACCCCAGCCTCTTCTCCATGCGGGTGTGCTACCAGTTTCCATGCCAACAGAGCTGCGCTGCCCTGCCCGACGCGCGCTTTGCACATGGGCCCTTCCCCTGCAAGGGGCTGTGCGGGGGAATCCCCATAACCCTCTGTGGGACATCCCCGACCTCGCTGACCCCGGGGGGCTGTTCGGGGGGGCTCTCGCATCACGCACGCTCTCTATTTTTCATGTCTTCTGTTGAGACCCTGGTGTTGATTTGGGTTTGATGTTTTTATTTTTAATATTTAATAGTGGGGGGGGGGGTTGGTCCGCCAGGCATCCAGCTGCTGCAAACTCATCGGCGATAAGATCCTGTAAGTGCTTCTCATGCCAGAACCTGAGCTCACAGGAATCTGTAGCCGGAGGATTTCGAACTGAAGTGAACACAGTCACCTTTGCCCTGTTTGGAGGCCTGTTCCTGTAACCTGTGCGGCACAGTCGTGTTAGGATGGGAGGGGGGCCGCTTAGTCAGCCTGCTGGGTTGTTCATGGACGGATCTCATTGGCCCCTGCCTTACCCCAGAAACGCCAGGTTCTCGTGCACCATCGCTACGGTCACAGACAGTCGGGGGTAAGATGGTAGAGAGGAACGGCCTCCCATTCACAGCGCCCTCTAGAGGAATGTCCCCGTTTGAGGTCTGTCTGCTCCATCTGAGGTTGGTCCATAAGTTTTGGGGGAGCTTTCTGATTGGCGGGGATCAGTTTAGTCCGTCTTAGACCTGCATGGGGCAGTGGGCAGCTGCCAGCCTATACCAGTAACCCCTGCAGAAGACAGCGCTCAGATAAGCACCGTAGCAAAGCGATTAAGGGTCGGGGGGCTGTGCAGAATCTGGCTGCTGAAGGCGGGAGGAGCTTGGGGTTGTCGAAGGTCATGAGTTACCTGCAATCCATCAGTCTGTCCGTCCGTCTGTCCACTTATCCAGCACTGGGCACCATTGAGCCTGTAGCCTTTCCCAGGTAGCACAGGGCTGCGTGTTTTTTTTGACGGCAGGAGGAAGTCGGAGAACCAGAGTGAACCTTGCCAGACTCGGGGAGGACATGCAAACTCCACACGCTCAGAGCGGGACGGGGGCACCGAGTCATCTCACTATTTGTTTGCGAATTTGCTTGAAGTGTGCTTTGAGTTTCCCTCGTCGTCTCTGTTGGGAGAGGATTGCGGGACCTGTGTGTGTGTGTGTGTGTGTGTGTGTGTGTGTGTGTGTGTGAGTGTGAGTGTGAGAATGAGAGAGCCACTCTGTCCTGCAGGGATCAGTGTGTTGGCTGGTAAGTGATGGACTGGGGTTAGGGTCCACCCCCCCCCCCCCCCAGCTGCTAGGTTAATTCCTGCTGTATTTGGCAGCCCCTCTGTCCCATATCTTATGCCAGGAAAGTAGTGTGAGCTCGCTGTGTGTATGTGCACTTCCTGTTTGAAATGGGAGTGCGGGAGAGCAGGGGGGTGAGCTTACCGCTGGCGTGCCACGTGGTGGCGTGGCAGCACCCTGAGCCCCTTGCCCCTGCCCTGCAGGGCGTCTGGCGTATCCCGGTGGATGAGATTGATCGGCCCGGCAGCTTCGCCTCTCACATGAACCGCTCCATCGTGCTTCTGCTGGACGTTCTGTCTGAGCTCAAGGACCGGGACACCCTGCTCAAGGTCTCCTGCATGCTCCAGAGGACCCCGGAACAGGGAAAGTGAGTCCCGAGGCCCCGGCTGACTCTTCCTTACCTGATTTTGTCGCTGGGGCAGTTCTTTTACGTTGTCGCCGTAATGGACCTACCTCCTGATCTGTATCTCTCGCTCCCTCCCTCCCTTCCTCTCTCTTTATAGGAAGTATTTGCGGGATGTGGACCGACAGGTTTTGGCCAAGAGAGCATTTTCCTTAACCGTGAAAGTACTGGAGGATAATCTGAACAAACTCACTGGGGTATGGAGTCACCAAACACGCGCACCAGCGCCACCCAGTGGCACGGTGTGCTGCCCCCGTGGCTGCTTGTCAGCTTGGGTCTATCCTCCCTACAAACAGAGCTGTGATGTTCACTCATCACTCACATTATTATTATTATGAGTGCATTACTGCTCACCAGCAGAGGGGAAGAGGACACTCTGTCTGTATCTGGTCCCCACAACATCGAAATAACAGGTTTTTATCATATTATGGGGTCATTTGGTCCCCACAATGTGATAAAAGCCTGTTATTTTGACGTTGTGGGGACCATTTTTTTCAGTCCCGACAAAGATAACCTCAATTTTATAAAAATCTGAGACTGTAATCAAAAAACTAAAAAAGCCAGAAATCTCTATTTTATTTGGTTACTTACGGTTAAGGTTAGGGCTGGGTGGGGGTTACGTTGTCTTTTTGGGATTAGAGTTTCCCCCATAGAAATGAATAGAGTCCCCACAAAGTTTTGAAGACAAACGTGTCTGTGTTTGTGTGTCTGTGTCTTGGCTGCACCAGGTATCAGAGCCTTCGCTCGGTGGGGGGGACATGACCACCACTGACACGCCCCCCAGGCCCAGCGCCGAAGACAGCAAGCGGGCGGCACCCAGCAAGCCTGGCGCAGAGGCCAGGCAGCCCGAGGCCCCCCCGGAGCGGCCCCCGCCACAGGCCATGGACACAGCGGAGCGGCGGGAGGAGCCCATGGAGCTGGAGGGTGGGACCTGGGAGGGCGGCGGGGGTGCGCGGCCCCTGGAAAGGGCCCCCCCTGAGCTGTCTCTGGAGGAGCTCAGCATCAGCTCCCGCCAGCAGCAGCAGCAGCATCACACCGGGGGGGTTAAGCGGCCGGCTTCCCTCAGCCCCCCCGAGGCCGGCGAGCAGCAGCGCAAGCCCAGTCGCAAGCGGAAGCTTCTGGAAGATGTGGAGACGGGCAAGACGCTCCTGCTGGACGCCTACAGGGTGTGGCAGCAGGGCCAGAAGGTCATGACCTATGACCTGGGCCGCATCGAGAAGATCATGTCAGAGACGTACATGCTCATCAAACAGGCGAGTGGTGGGGGGGTGGGCAGGGCGGGGCAGGGCGGCCCGTGATTGGACAGGAGCGGCTCTCAGCACCTCCATCATCTCATCCTTGTCGTCCTCCATTAGGTCCTTTCTCCTCTCCCTCTGAAGTCTAAAGTCACTCCTGCCCTAAGCGCCACTCCCCCCCC